CAACGGACAAAAAAATTTAAAAAAAAAATCCAAATGGAAATTAAGTCATTATCAGACTTTAGTTTTTTTTTTATCACAGATTATGCATTCTAGAAAGTACATTTAAAAATATATATTTTTTGTAAAAATTATATAATCTATAATGTATTTTTATTTTGTATTTTTTATTGTACATTTTGAATACATTTTTTGTATTGTGGATTATACATTCTTAAATATAATTTACAATAAAAATTCTTATTTTGGAATGCACATAATACAAATTTATAATTTGGATTGTACATTTTAAAACATATTTGGATTTTTCAATTCGGAATTGAAATTGAAAATCTTAAACGAGAGAGTAAATTTTAAGTGTTTAAGTTTGTGAGAGTCATATTGAAATTATAGAGACCTAAAACAGCATAGGTGTTTCTATAGGTATTTCTAAATATTGAGTAGTGATTTGACATAAATTTAATTGTTTATTTATAAGAAATAGTTATAATCAATATATGAGTATTATGATTTGGTTGAAAAATCGAAGTCATACGGCAGTAATGGGTTTCCGATTGCTAGCTATCATAAATATTTTTTTAGATAAAATATTTAAATAAAAAGAGTGATAATTTTAAAATTTACATTAACTTTTTTTGTTTCGGATCCAGATTATATATGACATCGATTCTTTGGTAACCAAGGTTATATCCCTTCTCAAATTATTAAATAAAAAGATTAACAATTTTAAACTTCTCTTCAACTTTTTTTTCTTCAGATTTGGCATGAGTTTTTTTGGCAACCAAAGCTATATAACATTTTTCATATAAAATATTTAAATAAAGTAGGACTTTTGAAAAATTTTGGTACACATTTTTGTCTTGATTCTATAATAATCGAAGCCACATATATAATATTTCAATTATTTAAAAATCAAAGTTAAATATCCTCTTTTAGATAAAATAATTAAAATAACATTGAAAAATTTTAAAAAAATTTCGCGTACTTTCATCCTTAGATATCGAATAATGAAACAAAAGAGATATATGATTTCACTTCAAATACAAACAGACTTATAAATTCGCCAAATTTTCAAAATTGTCACAATATTTTTATATATTTCATTTTCTTCAAAATAAAAACATATAATATAAATTTAAAAGCCAAATCTACAATAGTGACTAGAATCTTTTAATACTTGAAACTATAGAAAGGCAAGTCTATTCAATATTTTCATTCTTCCTTCCATTAATAAACTAATACAAGAGACAAAATTAAAAAAAAATACTAATTGTGAAAACAAATAACACGATAAAGATAGTAATAATTGTAAAATTTAATAACAAAAGTCGTGAGGATGTAAAATGTAGTTTTGTAATCAAATCTTGCACACCTTATGAATAACATAAAAGACATTTCTTTTTTACAAATTATACATTATTAAATACCATTAACATCAAATTTAAAGTCATTTATGCAATTTTAATACAAAAAAGATTCTTTTATTAATTTAATATAACACATGCCCTCTTAGTATTTAAAATACCAGAGTAATCAGTAATAACTTTGTACTATTTTAAGCTATGTTGACCTCCAAGTTAAATGAGAGTTTAAAAGTTAGTTAGAAACTTATGGTTAAAAGTTAAAAGTTAAAAAGTTAATCATGTGACTGCATAAAGAAAAATTACGCATATAATTCTTATGAGGGAAAAGCTATAACTGTTCACTCTGAACTGTTGTCGTTGCAGTGTGATTACTTTTCATCATGTTTTGTCGTAGAGATTGAGAGTTTTACTATACTCTTGGGAAATACAGAAATTCTCGAGTTAGACACAAGACCAAGTCACTGAATTTTTGTGAAAACATGAATGCCAACGCGTGCACATGTAGACAACATGTACTAACAAATTTCATTTTTTTCTTCTTATATATATTTTTTAAAATAACAATCACAATAAAAAGAACATAAAATCCGATTACTATAAAAATATTCAATTTTTTTCTTTATTATCTTACTTCTAAAAACCTGTTAAAATGCAAATATTAATCAATACCTTGTAAACTCAAAAAAGAAAAATGATTTAATGAACTACTGTAGCAATGAAACATAACCAAGTGTATTAATCAATTACAGTATATAATATAGTTTCAGTTTATTTATTCAGTTCCAATACAGTCGTATTAAATATTTAAAGTGTTTTTCTTGAATGACAGTAAGTATTATAAAAAAGGGACACAAACTCTGAGAAACTAAAGACACCACCTTAATGTGGTTTAGCTTTTGAAACCTGCCTAATTACAGAATGTCATTTCTTGCTAAAGCTATGTCTACGACCTAAAAAAAGGAACTTGTTTTGTCTTTAAACTTTTCGTGACTGAAACCTTTTATTTATACACTTATATATTTTAAATTAATCTTATAATTAGGATAAATATTTAAAATAATTATTTAAGAAAATTACATTAAATTAAAAAGTAGATTTTAAGCTTAATTTAATTTAAAAAATATTTATAAAGTAAAATTTATACTTACATATTTTATATTGACTTTCTCTCTAGTAGATTGACTGACGTGATATTCCAACACATATACATAATAGTTATATATTAGTTTGAAATCTTAAACAGGGAAAAAAAATAGTGGCGAAGTGAAGGAAGAATTAATCATGCACATGTTGGAAAGCAGACATGCAAGAGTAGGTGCAGGTATTAGCTAGCATATGTGAATGATTCAGATTCACGGGTAAGGCGTAATGTAGAAGAGAGAACGGAGAGAAAGAAAAGAGGAAGATTACATTGAATATGACTTGACAAGTTGGGTTGATTGATGGTATGTTAGTTATGGGGTTTGTTTTATTATTGTTTAAACATGCAAAAAGACGAAGAGGCATTGGAGAAGAAAACATTCCCATACACAATGTAATAGAGAGCATTGACTAAATGGAAATGCAGGTGAAGGGTCTTAATAGAGAACAGTTTAGGGGGCCACCCTAGGGAGAAGTAGCAATGGAAATGTATTGAGTAGGTGAGTGTGGTGGTGATGCTGCTTCTTTTGTTTTGTTTGGTTTGGTTTTCCATAGCCAGCCAGAAATGACAACTGATTAGGGCTTTTATTGGCAGTGGCAGAAGTAGGGGAAATGCACAACATTACAGAATGACAGTGGAGAGTGGATATGGGATATGCATTGTGCTGTAGTTTGCATGGTACTCTCATTACATATTTTGCATGCACATCTAATAAATAACAGACATACAAATAGTAGGGATTCAGAATTTGCAGGGTGTAGGCCCTCCACCCAACGAAAAGCTAGAAATAATTAATCAATTATAGCTTTCAAATTCCATATATCAGCTGTGACAGAATACTTCCTCTCCCAAGCTCGAGAATTGAGTCATTCCTTCATAATGACCAAGGGATTATACCTAAGAGGCAAAAGGAGAGAGAAGCAATCTACACATTTCCCTCCAATTAATACATCTGGACCATGCAAAAAGATTCCAAATGGGTAACATAACATAACATAACATAACATAACATGCAGTAATTTTCCTTGCTCAAAGATTTTAACTTTTAGCTACCTAGCCACCCTACTTCAACAAAACAACATCTCAGCTCTCTCACCCTTTAAAAATAACTGTTGGGAAAGGAAAATATACACAGAATAGTGATAGATATATACAAACACACTACTATGCATACATAATGTGGTGAGATGAAATTGAAGAGAGATAGATATATATATATATAGAGAGAGAGAGAGAATTGAAGTCCGTACAGTGGATGGTGCAGCAGAGAGAGAGTGTGGTGTGCATGGACAGCATATTAGACAAAGAAAAGGTTAAGGAGTAGCAGAGAGGGAGAGAGGGGCAGTTCGGATTGAGAATTAGTGTGAAAGGCACGAGACGTGAAGGGAACAATAAATGAGAGGGGGAAAAGAGAAGGGGTGATGAGGCTCATGATAACCCTCATGATCGTCACGTCGTTTTTCATTCGCTACTCCCAAAAATCTCCCAGAATTCCACGCTTCCTCACTGACTCCCTTCTTTGCTTTTCTTTTTTGCCTTTGTCCTCTCTCCCTCTTTCTCTCTCTAAATACCCTAGTCAACCTCATGTCCCCCTCACTTTGTCCCATATTAAACCAACAACACCATCCTTTCTCGTTCTCTCTCATTCTCTCCCCCATATGCTAGCTAGAGAGAGAGTGATCAATCCCCATCTCTGAATCCTCTCAGACACAAAATACTTCACTCACTTCTCTACTTTCAGCTTCAACTTCAACTAACTATACTCACTTTCAACAATGGCCAAACCCTTCACCTCTTTCTTCCCATCAACCCATGCCATATATAAGCCTTCTCTACTTTTCATTTAAACCACCTACCTCTTACCATTTTCTGGGCCACCTTCACATCACTCACTGCCTTCCATCCTCCACACCCCTTTTTAGATTCTCCACTTTAACTCCCCCACTCCTCCATTTCAATTTCCATCACCCACAACACAACCCCCCCTCTAACTATTATTGCACTTCATTGATTTTAGATCCCATATATAGGTACGCTACCTTCCTTCACCTATTTATAACCCCTTTCCACCACCCCAACACTTCCTCAAACCCTAACTTTTCGTTTTTATTAACTCAACACCAATGTGGATGGTTGGTTACAACGAAGCTGCCGACTTCACCATGGCTGATTATGCACTCAATGGAAGAAAACTCAGGCCTCTCATGCCAAGGCCCGTGTCTTCTCCTAACAACACTCCCAACGCCAACTCTCCATGCTTGACCCGTATTCATCATGGCAACGATTTCTTCTCACAATATCATAATCTGGGTATGCTCCTTTCTTTGAGTTCCCCCACCCACCAGCCCACCACCCTTTTTCTTTACCCTTTCTCTTTCTCTGGTTGTGTTTGCATGCGAGATATGGTGTGTGTATAAAGAGTTCTTTTTTATTATTATTAGCATCAGTCGCAGATCAGGGCAAGAGAGAGTTCAACCCTCCACCCGTAGTGGTGAGTTCGAGGTGGAATCCGACCCCGGAGCAGCTGAGGGCATTGGAGGAATTGTACAGAAGAGGGACAAGAACACCGTCTGCGGAGCAAATCCAACAAATCACGGCACAGCTTCGAAGGTTTGGAAAAATTGAGGGGAAGAATGTTTTCTATTGGTTTCAGAATCACAAAGCGAGGGAAAGACAGAAACGCCGCCGTCAAATGGAGTCAGCGGCTGAGGGTCATCACACCCGTGACTTTGATGGTACTCTTGAAAAGAAAGACTTAGGTAAAAACCGCACGACATAATTACCACCATACTTGTTTCTTTGCATGAAAGTGACAACTAATGAGAGGCTCTCATGTCTTGATTTGCAATGCATGACCGATGGCTTCTTTTGTTTCTTTTTCATTTTCTCCAATTGAGTTTTGTTTGTTCTTACATGCCTTGCTTATCTTTTCTTTTTTTTCTCATCAGGATTGTTGCTTGAGATGTAAAGTTATATTCTTTTTTGTTTTTCTTTTTGTCTACAGGCGCAAGTAGGACAGTGTTTGAAGTTGAACAGACCAAGAACTGGGCACCCTCTACAAACTGCAGTACGCTTGCAAAGGTCTATTATTCTATATCCTCCTTTGTCTTGGTCCTGGTTGATGAAGTAATTAAACCTTTTTTTTCTTTCTGAACTTGGGATTTTCACTACTTCATCACCCAAAAGTGTTATGGTATGATAAGGGTCCATTAAGCAGTGTTTTAATTAATTATTGGCACATGATTACTGGAGAATGAAGTTGATGTTGGAAACGTTATAGAAAGATATGCACTAGCTGGCTAGCTTTAGCTAGGGAAAGGACCCTAACAAAAGCTTTGTTTGTTGGGAAATGAAAAGGTCCTAAAAGCTGCATTCCTTCCTTTCTGTCGGGGCTGCTGTTATGAAACTTAGCTGGGCTTTTGGGGCTTGTGCTTATTCATGTCATTCAGGCCAGTAGCTTTTGGACACTCCATACAATATTCTATGGAATTGAGCACCCGTATTGATGGTGGAAAAGACAACTCTCACCCTACTTTAATTTGACTTCTCATAGACCATGCAACTTTATTTGAAAATACTACCAACTAGGAGTGCATGCCCATTTGAAATCTGTGCTGTCCAATAACTTTTTCACCTTTGCTCTTTGGCTTTTTACCACACATGTTTAGGTTTTCACTAGTTTGTTTTCATTGCATGCCTACATTTAAAATCTTCAGGAATCTGTTTCAATACAAAGAGCAGCAAAAGCAGCGGTTGCAGATTGTAGAACAGATGGATGGCTCCAATTCGATGAAGGAGAGTTACAGCACACAAGAAACTTAATGGAGAGGAATGCCACGTGGCATATGATGCAGCTATCTTGTCCTTCCCCTCCTACAGTTTCACCCCACTTCATAAACGCACCTCCCACCATATCTACTGCTAGCATGTCCACCACACCCTCAGTTACACCAAGAATAATGGACCCAAAGCTCATTAAGACTCATGATCTCAGCTTCTTTATTTCACCTAACAGAGAAAATGGTGTTATCCATTTAAGCAGTATCAACACCTACACCCCAGATGATAACTCTGTGGAGTCTCAAACCCTTCAACTTTTCCCGGTCAGGAATGGGGATGAAAGCAGTGATAACATTAACCACCAAAAGGAGACAGATGTATCAGTCTCAGCAATGAATGCTCCAAGCCAGTTTTTTGAGTTCCTTCCATTGAAGAACTGAACTGATATTAGAAAACAAAAACTTGCCGTGTATGTAAAATCATGGGGCTGCGTTTAAACATTGTATTTTGTTAGAAAATAGTACTACTTTTATTGTTATGGATGTTATGTATCAAGGAATTGGTGCTGTAATAGGACGGTAGTTTGAGTGAGGTATTTTGCCTTAAAATGCATTTGGACTATGTTGATTGAATCAAAAAAGTAGTTAAGTCCAAGAGTTCATTGTTTAGGGACCTTATTCGAGTAACTTGATATGTATGTACACATGGTTGCTTCTGGTATCTGATATGTGTGGCGAGAGAAACAGGAAAGATGGTGGGGAAGGGAAGTAAATAAAGAATGTATAAGGAATTTGATGTGAGGGTTTGATTGAAGGCATAGTATCTGAAATGGGAATGAGATGTGACAGACTAGGATGTTGAAGTAACTATGAGCATGGGTTGGAGAATTACTTTTGTTCTTTTGTTGCATTCTTAAAACAATACAGTACATTACCATCAATGTTCTGACCGGATGAATTCTGTAGTCCAATTTATTACAATAAAGAAATCACATCAATGCACCGATAGGAAACACAGCCTGTGCATTTAAGGTAAAGTTAGTGAATTCAATCCAAACAGGTTTAAACTATTTTCCTAGCTAATTAAATAATCCTGATGCTATAGTCAGAGTAGAATTTGAGTTTTACGAAGAGAATATCCACCCATCATCCTCCAACAACCAACACACTATATTAAATACAAGAAATACATAAATATACAGTCTTTGTTTGTCTGATTTGATTGAATTGATTTGTCCAAACATCTCCTAAGAATACCCATCTAAACCAGTACCATTTCTTGACCCTTCTTAATTCTATAAAGAAAAAAAAAACAATTATCTTGAGTATAGTTTAGAAGGAATTGTTTGTTTTTGTCACCGACAGACAACACTGAAAAATTACAGACATAAACCTGTGACATTTGGGCAGCTTCTTAGATGCTAGCTGTATATGTGAGATAGGGTTTATTACATTAGGGCATATGATCAACCTTTCAAAAATCTTAAGGGCTAAGACTAGGACGTGTCACTCAAGAAGCGTCAAGCATCACCAGGGTAAAAAGAAGGCTAAAATATTCCCGCTGCAGCCATTGAAGCCGTGAGTGGGGGACCATAATAGTTTAAAACAATATGCATGCACAGTAAGTCTCATATTTTGGACCATACATATATATTTGCGCGTTTTATCTACAAGGGTTAATCAAACATTAAAACATATTAGGTTGGAAAGAACAAGTATGTTTGAAATATGTTTGAAAACATGTATGCATGTGTATATGGAGAGAGAGAAGAGGATTGGTGATCACGGGTGGCGCAATCGTTTGTGAAAAGGGGGTGATTTCCAAGCTGTTGCTTACCTACCTACTTGGTACTCTGTTAGTCCCTACAGCATCTACTCCAAAGTTGCAGAAACTAAAATCCAAGCCACCCACAGATCCGTCGCTGTAGAACCAAACTGAACCAACGATAGGAACTATGGGTCATACGTTTCCTTCTTTTTTTTCTTCCTACATCTGTTTCATTTCTCTCTGTGTTCTTACTATTAAATGATTTCAACATGGAACTCAACTGGATATATTCATCGCACTTCTGTTATAGTTAGTAAATCAAAGGATAAAAAACTATCCAGTACCGTTAGCTTTGTTTAAATTTTCATGTAGTTAATGAAAAGGATCTCATTCTCGGAGAGAACAAAAACTGGTTGAATGTACATGTTGTGTCTGAACAGTTAAACCGAACCACCTATTTATTATGAAATTACAGTTATGTTCAAATCAATGTTTTACAATTAGGAATAATGCTCTTTAGCAACACAATGATAATAAAAGTGTCAAGGTTCAGAAGCTAAAGGTAAGAGACTGTTCAAGAAATGAATGAATGGATGTTAAAAATAAAATGCAGAAATAAATTTAATGGCTACTTTAACTATTAACAAAATTTAAACCTTAATTTCAGCTGTAAAATGGTTTTGGTCTCTGAAATATATACAGTGGGTTGACTTTTGATCTCTCCAAATATATAAAAAAATAATCTTTCAATGTTTAAAAACATACACAACTCTAATAATTCAAAGTTAATGGTAAAGGATTATAAATAAATTTGAAAAAATTATTCTACTTCATCAAATTTACCATTCAAATTTTTAAAGTTAAAAAACTATATTGGTTTAAATTTTGAGTCAAGAACTTGATTCACTACTTATTTTAAAGGTTAAATAGATAATTAATTAATAATTATATAAATAAACTCAATAAATTGAAATATTAGGTTATATAATTTAATTATTTTAAATACAAATGTACAAACACCTTAAAATACAAATGACCAAAATAAAGAAAAACATAAATGTGATATTAATTAAAAAAATAACATTAAATAAAGATGTTAAAATAAAAACATGATGAAAAGCAATCACACTGTAACCACAACAGTTCAGAGTGAACACTTATACCTTTTAACTTTGTTTCTAACTAACTTTTAAACTCTCAATTAACTTGGATATTAACTTTACTTAAAGTACTAAAAATTTAATGCTATATAAGTCTGGTATTTTAAGTACTAAAAGGACATCTTTTATATTAAATTAATAAATAATTTATTTGTATTAAAATTGCCTAAATGACTTGAAGTTTGATGCTGGTGGCATTTAATATATTATATTTTGAAAAAAAAAATTGTCTGTTAATTATGTTACCAAAATAAAAAAATAAGTGGTTTATTATGACAACAAAATTTAAATCGTAGTAAAATAATAATAATAATAATAAATAAAAAGAGACATATCATATTAAATGAATAATTATTTTGTAATCAATAACTCTTAGCAGATCTATATTCCTACCACAATAACTTCATTTTATGTTTTTGGTGTATATTAAAATACAATGATTAATTTATTTATTAAATATATATAATTTTATTTATCTGTAACTAGTAAAACTAAATGTAGTATGCATGTGTTCATCAGTGTTCACTTTTTTTAATTATACCAACAAAATTATAATTATTCAAATAAAATATATTATTAAATTATAAAGTAATTTAAAAAATTATAAAAATAGTAAATTTTATCATTTTATTATAGATTAACCTTGTTTATTATGTTAATGTTTTTTTATTATGAGTAGTTATTTGAATTTAAAAAATAATGAATACAAACATAAAATTAAAAAAATGTATATAAAAACTAAAATGAATTTTCTTTATTAAGTATAAATATAAATTTTGTTAACGTTTGTCATTTCTGGGCTTCAATTTGACCCATTTTACGGGTATACAGGCCTTTCTTTTATGTTTTCTAAGTAAATAAAAATAGTACTGAACTTTAAATATGGGAAAATATTTAATTTGATTTTGATACGAGAAGGATATTTAATTAAATTTTGAAATCTAGTTAACTGGATTTCGAAATTAGTAGTATTATCAACTGGATTTTAAAAATTGACAATGAGATTTAGAAAATTGGTAATATTTTGATAGAATTTTAAAATTTAATGAATTTATAAATCAAATTTTAAAATTTGACAAGATTTTTAACTTGATTTCAAAATCTACTAAGTTTTTTAAATTAATTTTAAAATTAGATAAATTTTTAAAAAGGATTTTCAAGTAAATTGTTAAATGAGATAATGAATTCTTCAAGAGTTACTTAATCATATTTGGAAATTTAATGCTTCTATAAATCAGATTTCCAAATATAATGTTTTCCTCCACCAAATTTTGAAATTGAATAATGATTGAAACTATTCATTCCACAAGTTACAAAATCTAATGAGTCCTTTTACATACTAGATTTTGAATTCCCAATAAAATTAAATTTGACATTCAAAAAAGAAATGAATGAATGAAAAAAGAAAATGTACAAAACATAGTTAAAGAGAAAAAAAAAGAAATAAAGTGGGAGAAAAGAAAAAACACATTTGGAATTGTTTCTAAAAGTGAATTGGAATAAAGCCCTGGATACAGTTTACACTGGGCTATTTAGCGAACCCAAAACCATTGGGCCATTCTTCCAAGGAGCTTTATTGCGTTATCTATTTTTTATAGCTAAAAAAAACATATTTCATTGACCAAAACTTTGAAATAATAAAAACACCAAGAGAAAAAGCTAACTATTTAATTAAACTGGGCACATTAATTAATAATGGAAAAAATAAAAATAAATAGATAATGATTTCTATAATTTGCCACATGCCCATTACATAAATCAATATTTTCTTATCTCAAAAAGGAAAAAAAATCTCTTAACCATTTTTTTGACACTATGATCTTTAGCCATTAACATAGCTTATAATAAATATGCTTTAGTAAAGATACTACGATTCCCTGTCCAAAGTTTGTAAACGTTAGGTAACCGTTGTTGAAAAGTTGTTTAAAATGCTACAGCGTTACCTTCACTACTTCCATCCATCTGAAGAAGTTGGGTAGGATTAGTTTTAGTAATATCAGCAATATTAATTTAAAAAAAAAACTGCCTTACTTGTTTTTTAAATTATTTTGATTTAATTGAGAGTAAAAATTTAAAAGCAAAGAAAAAATTGTGAAAATATACTTACATGTAACAGGTATATTTGACTTTGTGACCAAAAACAGTAGTAGAAGAGGTTGTCCTTAAAAACAGTAGCTCTCACGTGGGATAGATGTCGTGTAGCCTTTTAGCCTTCTGCACTGTCTAATTCTCCTCTTAACTTTTTTTTTGCTACAATACAATGGCAACTTATTCAAACTACCTAAACTTCTTCATTTTCTCTCCATTTTATCATTTACCAGTAAAATTTAATACTAAATCTTGCATTATGCCAAATAGATCTTTGTAAACGACAATAAACAAAACTATAATGCATGCATATGCTGTCTCCAAATAATCGTACCGTACACACAGTGACAGTGGGATAGACGTGCATGGATGAGCGCGTGTGATTCTTATCAAATGTGCGCAGATTTTGTAGCATACGAATTTCTTTTCTACTTTTTCTTCCCACTGTTCTTCATCGGGTCATGAGCTCAAGCCAGAGACTTTCACATTCACACTTTATAAAAGCTGAGTCTCTCAACGTATATGTCTAACAATGGGGTCCACATTTTAACCTAATTCCCCTTTTCAATCCTTTCACCTCATTTTGTACCAATCAATGTAAACAACATCATTTACTAATCTCTCTTAAATCCACCTTTATCACTCTATAAAACCTACTAACTTCCTTACCAACACACTCATCACTCTCACAATGGCTTCAATGTCCATCGCTCTCACTGCAATCTTCTTTCTAGTCTCTACTCTCTCACCGCTCGGTGCTTCAGCACCGGCGTCATTCGTACTTTACAACAAATGTCCGCATCCAGTGTGGCCCGGGATCCAGCCCAGTGCCGGAAAGCCCATTCTAGCCCGTGGAGGTTTCAAGCTCGCCTCCAACCGGGCCTACACTCTCCAACTCCCAGCCCTCTGGTCGGGCCGCTTCTGGGGCCGTCACGGCTGCACCTTCGACGCCTCCGGACGAGGCCGTTGCGCCACTGGCGACTGCGGCGGGTCCCTCTA